GAGGCACAAAGATGTATCACGACCTTAGTCACCAGTTTTGGTAGAGGGGTATGAAGAGAGATATGGCGGTGTTTGTATCAAGATGTCTTACTTGTCAGCAAGTGAAAGTCGAGCATTAGAGACCAACGGGTTTGTTGTAACCCTTGCCTATAGCCAAGTGGAAATGGGAGCATGTTACAATGGACTTCGTTGTGGGTCTTTCTAGAACTTAACGGGGTAGTGATGCCATTTGGGTGGTAGTTGACCGGTTGACCAAGTCGGCGCACTTTATACCTATACGTGTGAGTGACTCAGTAAATTTCTTTATCGACTTGTATATTCGAGACATAGTGAGCTTGCACGGGGTCCCAGTAACGATTGTATCGGATAGAGATCTGCGTTTCATAACTCGGTTGTGGCAGAGCTTGTAGAGTGCCTTGGGTACTAGATTGACCTTTAGCACCGCGTATCATCCTTAAACTGACGGGCAGTCCGAGCATACTATTCAAATCCTTGAGGATATGTTTCGAGGTTGTGTCTTTGACTTTAAGGGGTCGTGGGAGAGACACTTGCCCTTAGTGGAGTTTGCCTATAACAATAGCTTCCAATCGAGTCTTGGCATGGCACCATTTGAGGCCTTATATGGCCGACCGTGTAGGTCCCCTGTGTGTTGGGCCGAGATGGGTGATACATCTTTGTTGGGTCTAGAGTTGGCTTGGGAAACGACGGAGAAAGTGACACTTATCCGTAAGCGGTTACTTACGGCTCAGAGTCATCAGAAAAGTTATGTCGACCGTAGGAGGAGACCTTTGTCTTTTGAGGTGGGAGATCATGTCTTTTTGAAGATATCACCTAGGCGGGGTTTGATGAGGTTTGGAAATAGTGGGAAACTATCCCTTTGATTCATTGGGCCTTTTGAGATCCTTGAGCGGATTTGAGAGATAGTTTACCATTTGGCATTGCTGCCACAGCTTTTCGGAGTCCATGATGTGTTTCATATTAGCATGCTTCGAAAGTATGAGTTGGATCCATCGCATGTGTTGGATTGGACTGACTTAGAGGTAGATGAAGATGCCTCGTACGATGAGAGGCCGGTGAGAGTCTTGGATACCCGGGACTTAGTCTTGCGAGGCAAGACAATTCCTTTAATAAAGGTATTATGGAAACATCACGGAGTAAAGGAAGCGACTTGGGAGCATGAATTGGAAGCCCGAGAGAAATATCTGGATTTGTTTGTTGGTGCCTGAACATGCATTGAGATTTCAATTACGTTAATGAAATGTGATAACATTGTATATATTTTAAATTATGAAAACATTGTATATGTTATGGGAGTTTGGAAACATGGATTCAATATAAGTAATGTATATGCTTTGAGAATATGGAATATTGTGGGTGTTGTATCACTTTTTGAAGCATTGTATATATTGTGAAAATTTTGGAAAACTCGGATTCTGATTAAACATTGCAAATGTTTTGGGAAATTGTAAATTTCATTTTAATATGGGACTTGTGTATCGAGTCGATGAGAATAGATAACTGAAGAATGGGTCATGGTATTGAATTTGTGAGAATAACATTGTTATGAATGGTCAGATGTTGATTTTGAACTTGATTTGTAATTTCGGGGATGAAATTCTTTAAGAGGGGAGGTTATAGCGATTTCAGTTTTGACCCATCACTTTTTGTATTCCAGACTCGGGTTTATGATTTCTGAATGTTGTTAATTGTCTTTTCCTCTTTATTCCTTCTTAAATTTGGTTATTTGGGCATTTTGAGTGTGTTTGGAACAGGTTGGTTACTTAGTTTTCAAACCTTGTGCTGCCCAAAATTTTGGTCCTCCACTCGAGCGGCCCTTCTTGCGCTCGAGCGGGATTTGTAAATTCTCAGTACTTTGCGCATCTACAAAAGTACTGGAGGGGTGTTTTCCATGCTCGAGCGGCATTTCCTACATTCAAGCGGGTGAGCGCTCGAACGTTGGTTTGTTATCTACAAAACTTTTGGATGTGTGTTTTCTACACTCAAGCGGCGAATTCTTGCGCTCGAGCGGTGAGCGTTTGTTTTGTCTTAACGCTCAAGCGACCTTTATTGAGCTCAAACGGAATAACTTTTTTGTGTCTGACACTCGAGCGTTAACTTTTCCACTCGAGCGGACTGTGCGTATATCAGATCGCAAAAATTACATTTTATATCACTTTTTCATTCTTCTCTCTCTCTCTCTAAAACTTTTCAAAAAACTAGATCTTGACTCTCTCTGTCTAAAACACACTCTCTCTCTCTCTACATTTTGGCCTAGATCCTTTGAGTTCTTTACCCTAGTGTCTTTGAGAAAAAAAGTTTGAGCATTCTAAGAGCTTCATTTTGATCCGATTATAACTTGGTCTTGGCATTATTAAGGGTTCTGCCTTGCTTTGCTTGGTCTTCTCTTCTTGAGGTAAGAATTTTCTACACTTAAATATGATTTTTAACTTAGTTATTTATCGTTGTGTAACAATGGTGAGATTTGGGGTTAATATGAACAAACATAGGGTTTGGGTGTAAAATGGAAAGAGGGGTTTTTGGTGAATGAGAGATAAATGATTGTGGGGTTTGAAAATGATGTTGTATGGTGTCAAAATTGTTGATTTTGGTACTTGGTTAAGTCTTGGGAAGAGAGAGAGTTCGCTCTAAAATGATTATGATATTTATTTTGTATGAATAAATTAAATTGGTGTTGTAAATATGAAATTTGATGAGTATTGAATAAATTATATCTTTAGATTGTATATTTATTTAGAAATAACTATATTGGGCTATCAGTGAAGGATGACTATAATTGTTGTAGAAATTGCATGAGGATTAGGTGAATTAAAACTAATCCATGGTTGGTTATCATTGAATATGATCATGTTGTAAATACATTGTATATGGATGATTGTTCGGAAGGAGAAAGGGGATGTACTCCATGTATGATTATGTGTTTAAATACATTCTATATGTATGATTGTTTGAGAGGAGAAATGGGATGTACTCCATTGTTTGGGAGGAGAAAGGGGATGAACTCCATTATAATTAAGTTGGTCGAAGTGTCCTGGGTGAAAGTCCCAAAATTTATACATGGGTGTCGATCCCGCAGATGAAATTCCGTAAAGTGGCAGATTGAAGTGTTTGTGTGGTAATTGTGTGATTGTGGAACCATTGAGTTGTAGTCTCAATTGAGTTATTAAAAGATAATGAAATTGGCTCATATATTGAAATGAATTGAATGAGAATGGATTGAAGATTTGAATTTGGTACCTTTTGACTATATAAAATATGAATGTTTTGTCACAGGCATTATTTATGCATATTGTACTTATATCTTTGTTAAATCTCATATATTGTGTTAGATTATTCCTATTAGGTTGTGGCCCAAGGTAGTAACTTGGAGGAAGTTTGGAGCAAGAGTTTCATTTTTTTTATAGTGTTTATTTTGTGTAGCCAAGAGCTTAAGTTGTATTGAGTTAGACTATTCCTTTTGTTGTAACCAAACAACGTCTTGGAAAGATGTAAGCCCATAGGGCATTTATTTTGTTGATTATCAACTGATATTACATGCTATAGATTCAGGATGAACGTATATGAATGTATATTGTATGTGTTATATTTTGTAATGCAAACTCTGAGGAATGAAAGCATTTTGTTTCTATTATTCTTCAATTTATGAGTTGGGTTCATTATATTATTTTGAGGGCGTTACAGTTTTATTTTGTCGAAGGTTACTTGTATGTTTGTTGTTTATTATAAAGATTCATATTGTACTTTAGTATGTATTTTATTTTTTAAAAAGTTAGCTGCATGTTGTTATGTATTGTGAATATTCACATTGTATTTTGATTTTCGTTCAAATTTTTGTTTCATTATTTTTAAAATTTTCACATTATAAAAAAATTAAAAATTCATAATTTGAGATATTCTCAGTAGAATGAGAGAGGGATCTTCTTTTTAAAACGAGAGAGATATTTTTTTCCATAAAATAAGGGAGTATTGTTATTTTTTGTTGTGTATTAGTTTTAAAATGAAAATCTGTGCAAAAAACTAAAAAAATAATTTGATTATATTACATTAAACATGACCTAATAAATAATTAAAAAATATAAGTTAAATGGAATAAAAACACTTAAAAAATCGATCTATCAGACCTTAGAATTATACCTAAGTGATCTGTGTACCATCCTCAAAAAAAAAAATAAAAAAAAATAAAAAAAAAATAAAAAATAAAAATACCACAAGTGTGTATGGTTTGAGTTTTAAAATAAATTTAAAAAAAAAAATTTGAGAAGAGAGTTTAGAAATTTTTTTAGTTTGTTTGGTTATATAATTTGAAAATAATTTTAGAATTTGTGATAATTTGATATTTTGTTATATTTAAATAAATGTATGTGAGAGAAAAAATAATTAAAAATGAGAGAAGAGAGAGAAAAAATAATTAGGGGTTGTTTGAGATGATCTAAATAAGTGTATTTTTTGATTTTTTATAAAATATGAGTTGGGTATGAGTTGGGTTCGAAGTGATATAATAGAGAGATAATATGATTTAAATAATATAATGTGACTTTAAATAAAATAATGACTTTTTAACTTTTTTTTAAATTATGATAAATAAGGCCTAGATATCTTATACTAAGGCCTCGTTTGGGAACAGGCTAATTTAGTAACTTTTTGGTTATTTGGCTAAAAAGGTAGGTAAAAAAAACTTGTATGTTTGGGATGACTTTTTGGCTAATTACGAAAAGATGTGCAAAAAGTAGAGAGAAAAGAGAATCTTTGACTTTTTGGTATGAGTTGTTGAGTTGGGTATGAGTTGGGTTCAAAGTGATATAATAGAGAGATGATATGATTTAAATAATATGATGTGACTTTAAATAAAATAATGACTTTTTAACTTTTTTTTAAGTTCGATAAACAAGATTTTAATTAATATATACGAGAGAGAAAATGATTTTAATTTTTTTTTTTTTAAATCAAACAAAATTTTAAAAATTATATCTGGGAGGTACAAGCCCCCACAAATTCAAAAGTCCCTTCCATTGGAAACCCAAGGATGTATCGAGTTCAGCTTTACTCAAATCAGAGCTAAAAATCGAAGAGGGAAAGTGGATTGCGGGGAAAAGAGAAATGGAATTGGATGATTGGGTGCTGAGCGCGGAAGAACTCGATTCCCTCGAAAGAGATGCTCTCAAACAGATCGCTCAGCGCAATTCTTCTTCTTCTTCCACCACATCTTGTTCTTACATGCAGCAGCAACAACAACAACAACAACAACATTCTGCCCCTTTCAACCCGCACTGTGAACACACCCCGGCCAAGACCATCGACGAGTCTTGTCAAGATAACAAGGTCAAGCCCTATCCCCCGCTTATTTCATTCCCCTACGGTTATTTATTATATGTATATGGGTTTGAATGTCTGTGTTTGTCAGTTTTATATCAATTGTTTTGGCCCAATTTCTCAATGACACTGTTTCAGCTTGCTTTCTACAATTACGCTTTTGCTGCTGGTTGTAATTCCACGTTTAAAATTTTGATTCAGCTAATTTCTCTAGCCACTGTATCCCAGTTTAGCATGTAAAACTGGCTTTTCTTATGTTTGTGATGTTGCTTAAACTTGTTTTCAGTGTTCACTTCTTTTTTCAAGGCGTGTCAGATGTTTTCTGGCTCCAAAGGGTTTGGTCTATCTTGATAGAATTTGAATGTGCAAAACCGTCCCATTCGTAAATGGCCATTGCAGGAAATGGGAGCCTAGTCCTCCCAACTATCTGTTAGGTTCAAAACTTATAGCACTCTATACAATAATATATATTATTGAGTTATTTTACATACACAAGATGCGCACAGAGAGAGAGAGAGAGAGAGAGAGAGAGAGAGAATTTGTTTCTTCTTATCACATTGAAAACCAAACTGTAACTTTGATTATTTACATCGGTCTGAATCATTCACTACATTAAACAGAAATGATGATCATAACTCTGATGAGTGCTATCAGCCAAGTGAACTTTTGCTCATAGGCATACCATTGTTACAGTTATGTCTTAAATTCACATTCATTATATATATACATATATATATATTTTTAAATTTGGGTTATTTACTATTTTTTTGACCGCTATTTTGTAAAGCAGGTAGTTGCTTCACCTACTGCATCTAGAGTGTTACCTGGATCAGTGGAACAAAAAGTAATTGGTGAGTTACTTCCCATTATTTACTCATGTTTTTCTTCCTGCATTAGTTTGTTATACTCATTCACTTCTTCCTATTCTTATCGTGCATATGTTGCCACTTTTCCCCCCAACAAGATGGTTGTTTGAAGGAACAGCCAAAGATATCCGTTAAGTTTTTTCTACATGCTACTGGAAACATTGCTGCAAAATTTATGTATGACCAGGTAATTATTTTATCTGCTTGCAAACTGTTTTATTTATATAAATTTTATTTTTGTTATCTTGTGTCTACATTTTACTTTATCTCACCAGGTACTTGTAGGAGCTTTCCGCAAGATCTCCAAAGCTAGCTGGAATGCGAAGGAGAGGTCTACTCTGTGTGTGTGTGTGTGTGGAAGAAATCGAAGTGTTGTTAGTTTGGTTTCTGACTTTGCTTTTGTTCTCAGAATGCATGATGATTTTTCTGTTAAACTGCAGATTGTGGATGTTCCCCATCTCATCTTTGTCATCAGCTGAAAAAGTATTAAGTGAAATATCTGGTCTTAATGTTGAGGTAGCAAATGATTATTTTTCTTTACAAGTTTTCCAACTTATTACAGTTTCCCAAGGATGTTCCTTTTCTAGTTGTGAAATTTGTGTTTCATTTGGATTGAGGGGAAGTGAAGGGAAGTGCAGGACTTCCCTTGTTTGGGTGTTTGTTTAATAACTAGGAGGGGAAAGTGTTAGGTTAGGAGGGCTGGTCAAACCACTCTGACTCTACGTTTTGTTCAATTCTGAAATTGGGTGGTTTTCGAGGGAAAGTGAAGGAAGTTAGTGATTATCATTTTCCCCTACATTCTAATAAAAGCGAGTTCTAGTTATGTCCTCTTCTATTTGCTTAAGAATAAAACATTCCTCACTTCCCCGTCCTTCCCGTTCTCTCCCAAATAATATTACTTCAACTTTCCTTTATTTTCCTTACCTCTATTATGCAAACAAGAGAAAGAGTAACCTTTCCCTCCACTTACTGAAATAAAAAGGAGTAACACTTCCCTGCCTTTTCTGCCTTCCTCTTACTTCCATACAAACATAGTAATGATTATGATATGTTAGGACTCGCCCATTTGCTCTTGGAATAGACAGATCATTGGTATTTGTGTTTGCTTGGAAGTTACATAATGTCTGTTCATCCTTCACTGTTTGATTCTAATCTGCTAGGTAGAGAATTTAGATCCCTTGGTGCGGCGTGCTATTGTGGCTGCCTCTGCTATTTCAGATCTTCAAGGTAAGTCATAACTTTTAAATGTGAGCGACTGCTATCAGTTTCTGTTATGAATTCTATGATGAATGCTGGCCAACCAATTTTCCATTGACTTTTTATTGGCACAAAATATTGATCATTCATCCATGCAATAAAGCTTCATATATGGTGGATGTGCAAACTTGAAGAACAATAAATAAGCATTGCAGCTCTGTAGTCCTTGCTAGTTCTATGCTTTTTCTTGTTATATTTGCTAATTTTCAGAACATTCCAAAATTTATTAACTCCCTTGGAGACTTTTAAAACAATTTCCAACCAAGTATAATTTGTATATCAAGATACAAACAGGTTTCTATTACTTACGGAAGTCTTACATTAAATACTTTGGTCACTCTACAAACCCTTTTCTCTATATGCTGCAACAATGTAGTTAACTTGCTTGCTCTTATGTATTCCCCACAATCTCGATGAGCATTTATGTGTTTGTGTGTGTTTTGACCCAACTTTCGCATATACATGAAGTAGATGGCTAGTTCGGCAACAATGTAGCTAACTTGCTTGCTCTTATGTATTTCCCACAATCTCGATGAGCATTTGTGTGTTTGTGTGTGTGTTTTATCCCACCCTTCGCATATACGTGAAGTAGATGACTAGTTGTACAATTACAGTTTATAAACTTATGCACTCGCTCTTTTCTCATGTTATTGGGGGGATTTTCTTATGTTTCTTTCTTTTAAGTCACAATCTGGTAGCATTAGGGGGCATCTCTTTTTGATAGGGGGACTTGAGCATATGCTTGATGAGTGATCTAGGAATAGGTGCATGCTTTTTTCTTTTGTCAAGTTTTATTTTTTTTATTTTAAAGTTTGTTATTATTATTTTCTTAAAGATGGGCCTAATGTGTAGAATTTCATGCCATTTTTTTTAGTTGTGTGTGATAGAGCTGTGACTAGTGTGAGAACAATTGTAGTAGGGGCAAAGAAATGAATTTCTAATGTAGGTTTATACAAAAGAGTGAACATTAAGTAATTATCTTCTTGTATGAGGAATTGCCAAAAACATTTTACTCTTTACTCATTGTAGTGTAAAGGATTGGTCAATCAAACAGGATATAGTTAATGGCTTAGTTATGGATGAATTTATTAGGCACATTCAAGAGGATGCCCTGTGGTGATGTTTGTTGCTAACATAGTTTTAATTGATGAGATTAAAGGAGTGAACTTTTGTGGAAATGCTTTAGAATCTAAATGTTTTAGGGTAAGTAAAACTAAGAATATGTGGAAGTGGAAGTTTAGTAAAACAAGAAGTAGGAATGAGAATATGGTGAACCTTGGAGAAGAGGCACTTAAAAAGAGACCATTTATAATATTTGGGATCTGTTATATATAGGGAATGAGAGATTGACGATGATATTGTCCTTCGATTCAGAACAAGATGGATGATTTGAGAAGTGCTTAAGAAGTGTTGTGTGATTTTAGAAGTTGCAAGGAAACTTTTATAGGATTATTATAAGGTCAACTACATTGTTTGTTGTTGGATGTTGAAAAAAATGAGTTTTACTAGAAATAGAATAGGTGGTTGATGTAGGACAATTTTACGGAACTAATGATAGTCACCTATCATTGTATTTGAAGTGGTTCTAGGGTAGAAATTTATGCTATAGTTAGGATCCTAAGAAGTGGAAGATAAATACTAGGGTTTTGTAGAAGGGAGAAGGCTTAAATTTGTTCAATGTCAGAAGTTACATGTTGGATTTTCAGAATTGGTTGATTAGAGGGCCTAGACAGCTGCTAGTTTATAGGCTATGTAGCACAGACACGGACACGGGACACGACACGGACACGACACGGACACCCCGACACGCAATTTTTCAAAAAATAAGGGACACGACACGCTGGGGACACGTTTAATATATATAATTTTATTTATTTATTATATGTCTAAAATAAAAAAAATCATTAATTCTTATACAATTAAAATAATAATAAAATTAATAAATATATATTTTAAAAAAATTAATAAAAAATGAGTTTTTTTAAATAAAAATAATTTATTTTATGAATTTTAAATTTAACGAAAGAAAAAAGGATAAAGAAAAAAAAAGAGAGGGGGGAGAGAAACGTTTATCAAAAGTGAATAAAAAAATATAAAAGAGAAAAGATAGAGGAGAGAGAAAGTAAGTCAAAAAGGCAGAGGAGAATCAGAAAGGGAGAGACGAAAGGGGGGAGAGGAAGAAAATGAAGAGGAGAAGAACAGAGATGATGGAGCGGAGAAGACGAAGAGAAGAAGGAGAGGAAGAATACCTCAGCTTCTGCTTCTTGGATCTGAACAAGTTAGCTTCTCTCCCTCGATCTCTTTCTCTCTTTCTCTGTCGTCTCTCCTCCCTCGATCTCTCTCTTTCTGTCTCCCTCGATCCCTTTCTCTCTTTCTCTGTCGATCAAGGAAAATAGTTAGGGTTCTTCGATCCACATCACAGAGTGTCCGAAAAGTGTCCCGCCGTGTCCATAGCGTGTCCGACTGGAAGATTTCAAAAAAAAAAAGGAGACACGTTAGAGAGAGTGTCGGACACGTGTCTACCGCGTGTCCGTGTCCGACACGTGTCTGACACTCGTACGCAGAGCCTGGGAACGTGTCGGTGCTTCATAGTTTATAGGTTTAGTTGTCAAATTAAAGGCTAATGTATAGGGGAAGGGTCTGGTTTGGTAGGGCTTGATTAGAAAGGGTTTAGGGGCCAAAATTGGGGTCATTCTATACCTATTCAGAGAATAATACCAGTGTACTTGGCACAGAGCACACACAGAACTCAATTTGAACTCAATTGCATGGATATTTATTGGCTGCTAACTTCTGCTAATTCTTCAAGGATTACAACTCAATTTGAAAGTTAAGAAACCAACTATAATAATCTAGACATAATAAAGACTTCATATAATATCTAATAACATAATTTGACTAATGGGTGTCCTCTACAACCAGTGTCCAACCAATTTTGAATGTACCAAATTACACCTCACTACTAAAACCGAATTAAAGTCTCAAAAGTAACCCATGACTTTATTTATGTTGAATTCGCTTTTAGTAGTGAGGTGTAATTTAGTAATATTATTAATAGGTGCTAATAAAGTCTCAAAAGTAACCTATAACTTCATTTTATGACGCCTTAACATGGTTTATGTGAAATTACAAATATGCCTCTTTTCTTGTTGGCATGCTCTACATCAATGATGTTGACAAAAAATATGAGAGCAAAGTAATAGGTTGACACTTGGGAGATAGTTGGATGAGATGAAAGAAATAAAAGAAAGGAACATAGAGAGGAAGATATAGGAGGATGTTAATGAAGAGGGAGCACAAAACTCTTCCAAACATTCAATTTTATTCATCTTCAAAGCCTAATTTATTTATTTTTTCTAGCCCTATAAGGCCATTTTTTAAGCATTATCCACATCATAAACCTTAATAACACGTAACTACCGTATAAGAATACCACTACCCTATATAGTAAACATCTAAAAAATAAGGAAATATTGCAAACATGGTCCAAAAGGACTTTTATTATAATTCTTATTTCTAATCATTCAAAATGACAATAAATTCAACAACTTGGCTGCATCAATTGAAGATCAAATGAGGGAAGGTCAATTTAGATGGTTAGGGCATGGCTTGAGGTGGTGACAAAGGACATGGTTTCCTTGGACTTAACTGAGGATTTTGTTTTTAATACATCCAGTTGAAAAAAAAAAAAGAAAAAAAAAGAGATTCGTGTAGGCTACTCATAGTGATTCATGATCCAAAAAATGGATATTGTTTTTGATAGATCCAGTCAACAAGCGTTAATGCCAATCACTACTCTTGTTGAGTGCATGTCTGCATTTGTGTGTGTGTGTGTGTGTGTGTGAGAGAGAGAGAGAGAGAGAGCATGCCATGTGTCCTTCTGTAGTTTTGTACTAAGGACCCAAGGTTAACTTATTTTCTGTTTTTATATTTTTTAGCAGATTGGTATGACAGAATTCCAAGTAATATTGAATCAAAGCTTCTGCCATTTCAGCGTGAGGGTGTTAGGTGAGCAGAGACTTTATTTCAAATAATATGGGGACTTTGCCATTTCAGCGCTATTGTTGTTTTTGTTTTTTTTTTTTAAAGTTATTGTTCTATTCTTCTTGCTGCTATTGATAGTCTTTTTCTTTTTAGGTTTGTGTTGCAGCATGGAGGGCGTGTCCTCCTTGCAGATGAAATGGGATTGGGAAAGACTCTTCAGGCAATGGATCCTTTACTTGATGTTATATCATTTCTTCAATATACATGCGAAGTTGCACAATCTTTTTTCTGAGTGTATTGTTGTTTGTGTAAGTTCCTTGTATTAGTTTCATACAAGAAAATCTGGTCATCAACTTTGTAGGCTTTCTCCAATGGCAAGTGGCTAAAAATTGACACCTAAAGATTTAATTAATCCCTATTTTGCTTGTATACTTTAGAATTGGTTGAAATACTTGTTGGATAAAAGCAGGCTATATGCAGTGTGCACATAAAAAATGTTGTCAAATTCAGGATCCTATGTTTGATTGGTGGGGAACCAGGGGTTTGCAGGATTGGATTGTAGATTAGCCCATGGATCATAAGATCTGTAGCATAAAGACTGGAAAAAGAATAAAAAATGTTGAAACATGTAAATAAATGTATAATAGAAAGCTCAACAACAAATCTTTGCATTTCATGAAAACAAAGAGAGGTGAAGAGTTAATATTATAATGTTTTATAGCATTCAGTGCTCTACATTAGCAATATAGAAAATAGAAGTTAAAAAAGTATTGAAACGAGAAATAAAAGAAATCATAGCTCTATATATCAACAAAAAAAAGAGCCATATAATCATTGCGACAAAGTATAATGTGGTGTGTGCGTGTGTGAGAGAGAGAGAGAGAGAGTGATTGGATGACAACTAATTAAAGAATATAGGGACTTTATTCTGTTTTTCTTGCGTTCCTTATTTGGATTATTTCTATTTTTATTAAATTATTTGTAGGGTTTTTGTTTTTGTTAACCTTAGTTAGGGTTTCCTATGATGCCTATATATATGGCTTTATATAATAGTTTTAGAGACTACAATTGATGAATATTGATTATTGACTTTTGAGGTTGAGATTGAGAGTTGATTTGTGTGTGTGTGTGTGAGAGAGAGAGAGAGAGAGTTGAATTCGATATTTTTAGTTTGTAGAACAGTTGCAAGTAGCAACACAACAGAAAAAGAAAAAAGGAGGGCCAAACGTGTAAATGGAAAGAAAGAATAGAGGTCAAAAAGAAGAAATAAATAGATATTAAGCTGTTTGATTGAATGAAGAAAAGAAAAGAGGAAAAAAAAGGAGCAATTGAATGATTTGCTATGCAGAGATGATGAAGCGTAGCCAGAGAGCAGGGAGTGTTCTAGAGTGGGAGTAGATATGCTTGGATCATGGCAATATTCCTTCGGCTTTCTAGTTTTTCAAATTGCAGCAATGTTTAAATGCATATTGTTCTAATTTGTTTTTCATAGTCTATTTGATTCAATATAATATTATTTGGTTTGGACTCGATGTAAAATGGGCTTTTAGGCCACAAGCACAAAATAACAAAAACAGCTGCATACAAAAGAATTGGATCGGGTATGATGGGGATTCCATGATCTGACAAGATCTGGCCATGAGGATTGAAAGATCTTACCCCACATTATTTAATACACAATTTGAATTGATTTTGCCTTAATGGGTCGTAAGATTTTAGATTGGGATTTTAACAACCATGGTTTATAAATAAATAAGAAGACTTGATTGCTTAATCTCAAGTAGTTAGGGTTACATTGTTGGCCTATATTGTATTGATTTGGGCTTCAACTTTATTGCTGTAATGCTTCTAATTCAATGGAAAATGTGTTTTAGAGAATTTTTAAAGCTTTTGAAGCTCTCTTGTTGATCATGTAATGCAATTCTAATCTTATGTATGCTATCTATGGAATTTTGGTGAAATGCCCTTACTTTTCTTGTTATTTATTTTCCTGCACTTTTAGCCCCTAAAATTGCTATGACCACATCTGATTGAACATTGTTTCATTTCATCTTACTAGACCTTTCGAACAAGCCCAATTCATCCCTTTATCATTTACATAATTATTGTGTGCAAAACAGTCAACTTTACAAGTATATTGTGTCCCAGTTATTTAGCATCTACATAGTGATTGTCTAGTATTACATTTTTCACTTGCTAATAGCTATCATTGCAATATCGTTAGAGACAACTAGTTGCTATCAGAACTAATAATTTTCTTTATTGTCAACATGTTGGTATATGTCAGTGATTATGTGGGATGGGAGGCCATTGGAAAATCTGTTTTCTTGACCATACTGGCTTTTACTCCAAATAACTACCGATGTTGCATGAAATAAAAGCCTAATATTTCCTATGTTGTTTTCCTTGGTAATTATGTGAGTTTTGTGTTGTAGAATGTGTTAGAATAGGAAAGAATATTTGTTGTATTTTATTCTTATTTTAGTTTTATTTTTCCCTTGATTGATATAATGGGCGGGCCCATAATTTATGTCTTATGGCACTCCTGTAATTACTTATTATTATCAATATAAAGGGGGATGAGGTCTAACCTATTCCTTATCTCTTTCTCTTCTCTAAACTTACATGGTATCAGAGCCAAAACCCTAGCCCAACCCTCTGTTGCCCTTTTTCTCACTTGTCGGTAGTTCTATCTTTCCAACAGACCAGTCGGCAGTCCACCCAGCCCACCTCCAGGTAACCTACAGCCCCGAACCCCTTACCTAGGTCTTCGGCTCTCCTCTTGGGCTCCTTGACAGCTTCTTAGGCTTAGTCGGCCGCCTCTCTGAGCTTCTAAGGGCCCGTCAGCAGTCCCTCTGAGCCTCTTAGGCTTAGTTGACAGCCTCTCTGAGCTTCTAAGGGCCTGTCGGCAGTCCCTCTGCCCTTCTAGGGGCTTGTCGATAGCTCTTCTGGCTTGCGTGGCCCCTATCAGCAGCCTCTGTTGGACTTCTTCCTTCATCTGTAATGGTTGTTCCTTAAACATCCTTTAAACCTCTTTTCTTTCACCCAAATAAATAAATAAAATAAAATAAAAAATACACCGGATTCTTAATTCTTTATGTTTTTCTAATTAGTATTGTGTTTGTTCCTCCACTCTCATCTTCTGGGTTTGTGATTGTCATTGTGGTTGAGGAATAGTTAGTAAAGTCTCCATGACAGATTTGACTAGTGAATCTACTACCTCTCAACCCTCTTAGGGTGAGAGTTCTGTCATCCCTTCTACTATGCCTGATAACCTTTACCTTAGCCTTAAAATCACCACCTCTGCATTCAATGGTCAGAATTTCCTGGCATGGTCGTAGAGTTTGACTATTTTCTTGAAGAGCAGAGGGAAGATGAGATATATTGATGGGAGGGTCCAGGCACCCAGTATCACAGACCCTCGTTGTGACCAGTGGGAGATTACCAATTATCTGATTATGGGCTGGTTGATCCATTTTATGGTTCCAGAGATTGGTGAGGGCTACATGTCTATAGACATTGCCTAGGGTATTTGGGAAACCGTAGCTACTACTTCTTCCAGGAAGGGGAACTTCTCACAGGCTTTCGAGTTACGTCGCTCCATTGAGCGGTCGGTGCAAGGTGAGATGACTATCCTCTAGTATTTTACCTTCCTTAGCAATGGGTGGAAACGACTTGATCACCTTCAAGATTACAAGCTTGTATGTCCCACTGATTCTGCTGGTTACCGCAAATTTGTGGAGAAAAAATGGGTCTTCAAGTTCTTGGAAGGCCTAAATGTGGAGTTTGATCTTGTTCGGAGCAAAGTACTTAGCATGGACATGATTCCATCTCTGTAGGAAGCTTTTGCTTTTGTGCAGAATGATGAAAGTCGCCGTTCTGTTATGCTTCCTCCTGCCACTATTGATCGCTCTGCCTTGGTTTCTACACCCTCTTGAGATGGTGTGCCTCATGGTTCTCGCTCTTCCTCTGAGAAGGACAGTGTTTTAAAAAGCATGCCTAGGCGCACAGCTAAGCTTAAGGCGAGACGAGGCGAGGCGTAGCTCTGCGCCTCATATATGGCAAGGCGAGGTGACATAGAAGAGGTGCAGACAAGGCGACGAGCCGCGCGCTTTATGATGAAGCTCGAGGCATGCGCTTCATGTGCTTCGCATTTCTTCCACTCCAATAGTCCATCTATTTTCTGTGTGGATGCCCACATGGGATGACATCTCATTTACATTATAAAATGATCCAAATGTGGGTCCAAAGAGCAAAAACATTAAAAAAAGCCCTAGTGGAGAAGAAGAAGAAGACGCGATGTCGCGAAGAGTACATGACACGCCAATATATGCAGGTTCTCTTCTCTTCTCTCTCTTCTTCTTTTCTTCTCTTCTCTCTCTTCTCTAGTTCTCTTCTCTGCCTTTGTTTTACTTTTTTTTTTTTTTTTTCAGTCTTCTCTTCTGATTCGACTGTTCGTCTCTTCTCTTCTCCTCTTCTCTGCCTTTGTTCTACTCTGTTTTTTTTTTTTTTTGCTTTACTTTTTTGGTCTTCTTCTCTTCTCTAGTCTTCTTCTCTCTCTTCTCTTCTCTTCTCTGGTCTTCTTCTCTTGCTCTCTATTTTTTTTCTCCTTTGTTCTTTTATTCTTCTCTAGTCTTCTTCTTCTCTGTATCTCTCTTCTCCTCTTATTCTCTGGTCTTCTTCTCTTGCTCTCTGTTTTCTTTCTCCTTTGTTCTTCATCTCTGTTTCTCTCTATTCGCACTTAGGATATAGGAGACCTTATTGCCTTGGTGCGCTTGGAGGATAAAAAAAATTAATTGAAACACATTATTTAAAAAATATAATAAATAAATAAAATAATATATATTAAAAAATTAATTGTTTTTTTCTTCTTCTCTTCTCTTCTTATTAAAAAAAATTAATAATATACATATTAAATATTTGCTTATGTTGAAAATTGTGTTATATTAATATTCTGCTTAACTTCTATAACTTGCGCCTCGCTTTGGTGAGGCGTGCGCCTCGCCTCGTCTCGCGCCTCAGCGCTTAGGCTCCAGGTGACCTTGGCCCCTCGATGCGCCTAGAGCTTTTTAAAACACTGGAGAAGGATCAGCTTTTCTGTGACTACTGCCGTAGACCTCGCCATACAAGAGAGACTTGTCAGAAACTGCATGGGACTCCTTCTGGTGGCCGAGGAGACCGCCCTGGTACTCGAGGGGGTCGATCTGGTCAGTCTAGAGGCCGAGGAGCCAATGCACGGGCGCATCTTTCAAATATGGTTGAGCCACCACCTTTATCTCCCATTGTCTCACTGATTGTTGATGTTTTTGGGTTATCTACCTCCGATTTTAAGATTGCTCTTTGCCACTTGCTAGACCATTGAGCCTCTACTTTTGCCACAGGTGCATCCTCTTCTTTCTTTGCCAATTTAGGTAATTTGGCTTTTTCCGCATGTGCATTGCTATCTCATACTACTCTGTCATGGATTATTAATTCTGGTGCTTCCAACCATATGTTTGGTTCCTGTCATTTGTTCTCAGAATATAACCCTTCCTCAGGTCGGGGAAAAGTGCGTATTACTGATGGCACTATTTCTTTTGTGTCAGGGAAAGGTTTAATTCATGTCACCTCTTCCCTTCCTTTATCCTCTGTACTTCATGTTCCCAATTTTAGTATTAATCTTTTATCTTTGAGTCGTATTATTCGTGATTTGAATTGTAGTGTGATGTTTTTTTCCTGATCATTGTCTTTTTCAGGTCCTTATCACGAGGAAGAGGATTGGTAGTGGTAGAGAGGAACATGGTCTCTACATTCTAGATCAGACAGACAAGCTGGCTCATTCATCTTTTTAGTTACCATCCTTCAAGGAAGACCTTTGGCTGTGACACCGTCACTTAGGACATCCTTCCTTTTTACTACTTAAGCATTTATTTCCTTCTGTTTTTGGGAACAATCATGTGACTGATTTTCGTAGTGAGTCTTGTCAACTTGGAAAACAACACAGAGCTTCTTTTGCTCCTATTAATAAAAGTTTCGTTCTATTTTTTTTGATTCATTCTGATGTATGGGGTCCCTCCCGTTTTGTATCTTTAAAGGGTTAAAAATGGTTTGTTACTTTCATTGATGATTGTTCTAGGGCCACTTGGGTATATCTGATGAAAGACAAGAGTAAAGTGTTTTTTGTGTTTCAAAACTTTCATAGAATAATGTGCACTCAGTTTGGGGCAGTTGTCAAAATTCTACGTTCTGATAATGGGGGGAAATATATTGATTCACCAAACATCTTGCACTAATATTCCTCAACATAATGGTGTTGCAGAACGAAAAAATCGCCATCTCCTTGATGTGGCCCGTTGTCTATCCTTTAAAATGCGTCTCTCGTTCATATTGGGGGGAAGCGGTCCTCACTGCAGCTTATTTGATCAATCGTCTTTCTACCCAAGTCCTTAAAAAAGGCATCCCTCTTTAGGTTTTGTTCGGATCCTAGTTTTTTGGGTTCTCCATTTCCTCTAAGACCTTTGGGTATGTTTTGTCTATAATCATTCCCCCACTCGTGGTATATTGGATCCTAGGTCTCTTAAGCGTGCTTTCTTGGGTTACTCTGCCACCCAAAAGGGCTATAAGTGTTATCATCCTCCATCTTGCAAATATTTTGTTTCCATAGATGTCACTTTCTTTGAGTCTCAATCTTACTTTTCGACCTCATTGTCACCATCCTTCCTTCAGGGGGCCCCTTGGTGTGAAGAGATTGCTGTGCCACTACCACTAATGGTGGATCAGATAAAAGATGTTGAGCCAACAATTGTTGTGGAAAATGAAGAAGGCAAAGTTTATGTTAGGACAAAGATAGACATAAAGTCACCTGGATACAAGAGACTGCTTTCGCTCCTTTACTGCCGACTTCTTCTTCGGATGAGTGTCCAAAGTCATTCCCCTCTCCTGCGAGTTTAGGTAATTCTAATCCTAATGCTGCTATGTCTGAGTTTTCAGATCTTGATATTTCCATTACTAATAGGAAAGGGGTTAGGTCATGTACTCAGCATCTTATTACTAATCATGTCTCTTATTCTAATTTGTCTCCCTCATATAAAGTTTTTCTGTCTAAAATTTCTTCTGTAAGTCATGCTCTCTCCATTCCTGAATGGAAACATGCCATGATAAAGGAGATGAGAGCCCTCAGCAAGAATGACACTTAGGAGTTAGTGGAGTTAACTAGAGGCAAAAATCCAATTGGGTGTAAGTAGGTGTACACTGTGAAACACAAAGCAGATAGTTTCATAGAACGGTACAAAGCAAGACTGGTTGTTAAAGGTTTTACTTAGACTTGTGGGGTAAATTACCAGGAGACATTTGCACTGGTTTTTAATATGAACTCTATGAGAATACTACTCTCTTGCAGCAAATTTGGATTGGCCACTTCATCAGTTTGATGTGAAGAATGCCTTATTTTATGGAGACCTAGAAGAAGAGGTCTATATGGATATTTCCCCTGGGTTTGAGGATGCTAGGTCCAAAGGTAAAATGTGCAGGTTCCAGAAGTCACTTTATGGGCTAAAGCAATTACCTAGGGCTTGGTTTGAAAAGTTTACTCAAGCTATACTAAGATATGGGTTCAAGCAAAGTCAAGCTAATCACACCTTATTTGTGAAACACTCCTCACTTGGTAAGACCACAGCTCTTATTGTCTATGTTGATGATATTGTTCTAACAAGAGATGATGTTGAAGAGATTCCTCGATTGAAGGAATACTTAGCCAAAGAGTTTGAAGTCAAAGACTTAAGCAATTTGAAGTATTTTTTGGGCATTGAAGTAGTTTGGTCCACGGATGACATCTTTATATGCTAGCGGAAGTATGTACTTGACTTGCTAAAGGAAACTGGAATGCTTGGAGGTAGACCATGTGATACACCTTTAGAATTGGGCCAGAAACTAAGCAAGGATCAAGGGGAGATCTCGTGGACAGGGGGAGATACCAGAGGCTTGTAGGTAAGCTCATGTACTTATTCCACTCACGTTCAGACATTGCCATTGCAGTGAGCATGGTTAGCCAGTTTATGCATGCTCTGAGAAATGTCCACTTAGAGACAGTTATGAGAATTTTGAGATACCTAAAGGCTTCTCCTAGAAAGGGTCTCTATTTCTCAAAACATGGACATCTCAGTGTGGAGGCATTCACTGATGCGGATTGGGTTAAATCAGTCACTGACAGATGATCAATTTCTGGATATTGCACATTTGTTGGAGGCAACTTAGTTACGTAGCGAAGTAAGAAACAGAATGTGGTTGCTAGATCTAGTGCTGAGGCAGAATTCAAGGCTATGGCTCAAGGTGTATGTAAGTTACTATGGATTAGACTATTGTTGGGAGACTTGGGGATTCATCAGACCGATTCCATGAGATTGTACTGTGACAACAAAGTTGCAATTAACATAGCTCATAATCCAGTTTAACATGACAAAACTAAGTATGTGGAGTGTTAAAACCTATCACCTACTTCACCCACTTAAACCTACTCCACTAAACCTAACCCACTACACCACTACCACCTCACCTACTCCACTAAACCTAACCCACTACACCACTATCACCTCCACTTCACCTACTCCTTACCTACTACACTCACCCTCTCCTATATAATGAGCCACTCACCATTTGTTATATCAATAAACATCAATCAATAATACATAAATTTTTACATGGAGATTGATAGGCACTTCATCAAAAAAAAATCCACTAGTGACACCATATGTATTCCCTTTGTGAAGATTAGGGACCAACTAGTAGATGTTCTCATCAAGGGCATAGGGAACAAATCATTTCATGGCATTCTCAACAAGTTGGGCATGGGAGATATCTTCGCACTAGCTTGAGGGGGAGTGTTAGAATAGGAAAGAATATTTGTTATATTTTATTCTTATTTAGCTTTATTTTTCCTTTGATTGATGTAATGGCTGGCCCATAATTTATGCTTTATGGCACTCCTGTAATTACTCATTATTATCAATATAAATGGGGATGAGGTCTAACCTATTCCCTATCTCTTTTTCTTCTCTAAACTTACAGAATGTACACTGATGTTGGCTCTCTACTCTTAACCTTACGACCCTACCCCATAATAATTTTTCCTCTGGCAAACTTGATGTTTGGGGATACATCAGAAGATGGTGAATGTTTCATTTGAATTGTGATATGTGCTCTGAGTGTTAATATCTCTAGATTTTATGAATAACTCATGTAGTGATTCTTTTTAATAAATAAGAAATGGAACTCTCTCTCTCTCTCTGTCTCTCTCTCTCTCTCTCATGCTTGTTGAATTCCTTATCATGTCCACAGGCTATTGCTGTGACCACTTGCATTCGTGACTCCTGGCCGGTTCTTGTTCTTACCCCATCTTCCTTGAGGCTGCATTGGGCTTCTGTAAGTTGCTGCCTCGACCTATTTCTCTGTTTGAACCTGAAAAGTAACATTAAATTTGATTTACTTTATCTGCTATATTACAGATGATTCAACAATGGCTGAACATACCTTCATCAGATATACTTGTATGATTCCTGTTGCTCAATTCTAAGTTATGCTACCTTTCTTGTTCATAATTGTAGAAATTTAATGTATAAAGAGAAATAGAGAGAATTAATTATGTATAGAGAAATAGAGAGAATTGTATTATTGATTGATATATATTGATACTTTTTCTGTCTATTACAAATGGTTCCTTATATAGATGTAGGTGTAGTGGATGGTGTGTAGTGGATGGTGATAGTGGTGTAGTGGGTTAGGTTTAGTGGAGTAGGTGAGGTGGTAGTGGTGTAGTGGGTTAGGTTTAGTGGAGTAGGTGAGGTGGTAGTGGTGGTAGGTGATGGTAAATTCTAACAGCCCCCCGCAAACTCAAGGAGGATAGAAACTAACCAACTTGAGTTTGAAGAGAGGAACAAAACAAGAAAATACATAAAAAAAAGGATAGGAGACACGGTATGGTCGTGTCAGATCGTTGGTGAAGACACTGTATGGTGGTGTCATAACGTTGTAGAGGACACTGTATGGTAGTGTCATAACGTTGTAGAGGACACTGTATGGGGGTGTCATAACGTGGTAGAGGACACTGTATGGTGGTGTCAGACCGATGTAGAAGACAGTTTATGGGGTCATGTCGGACCGTTGTAGAAGACAGTTTATGGGGTCATGTCGGACCGTTGTAGCAGACAATGTTGTGACAGTTTACGGAGTCTTGCTGGACCCTTGTAGAAACTAATAATATTGAGCATTCTTTTCATTGTTCATTTGCCTTGAAACACTGCCAACTATCTTTCATAGTTGGGCTTATATTGAGCATGGGTTTCATTATTTGTTTGTCTTTGAGTCTTGTACATTGCCATCTAGGCTTTCATTAATATTGCGATCAATTATTTTGTTTGATGTGTCAAGTGGCCCTTTATGTGGACAGTGTTCCAACTGAAATTGTTTATTAAGATTGTCCAAAACTTTTAAGTTCATCAATGCTACTGTCCATTTCTGAGCTTTTTAAAATGTTAGGAGCAGTTATGTCGATTTGATTTTTGTTTCTAAAATGTTTCTAGTATATTAGTGTATTTAATTTTGTCTTTTTAGTTAGAGAACAAGAATGCTACCAAGACATTATGTCTTAGATTTTGGCGTTGATTGATCAAGCTGGTCAGGTATTGTTTAGTTTTATTTATTTTCTCTATTGTTGTCTGTTAAAGTCTATTTCTTCTATTGAACTTCTTTAGGACCTGTAACAGTGCCCAAATGCGTAGCTGCAGTTCACTTACCTAAACATGCAGGTTTCTCCATCTGTTTAGTTTAAGAGCACTTAACAGTCTCTTGGGTGGAAATCTTGTAATCTAATTAGGAAGCTTATAATGTATTTGCTGAGTAGTTTTGTGAGTTTCTCTTTTAGATTGTTTAAAGTGATTTCATCAAGTGTGTGCATTCCAAAGCTTTTTCCATTTGAAACTTTTCATCTTTGCTATTTGAATACCTGGATTGCTTTTGAATGAGGATGAGGCAGATAACGTTGTGCCTAGAAAGCGGGTGTAGAATAGACTGAACTCTTCTTATTAAGTTATTACCAATTAAAATTATATCATGGATTATCAATTCAATTAGCCAATTAAATCTATACAAAGCATTTATAATACATCTACACAATATCACAATAATAAAGTAAATAACAAGAACATGTGATATACATGAAAAATTCTGGGAGCATCAATCCCAATGGGGAAAATCACAGTACTAAAACGACTTACAAACCCAACCCTTGGATGAGTTTTGGCCTTGATGTAGTTGTAATTTAAGTGAATACAAAGCTTGAGTGATGATTATGATATCCTCCCTTTTTATATTAATCAATTAATTGTTACAAAAGGAAGCTCTAAGGTACTGATTAAGGAATCACATTTTATATTAATTGATTGATTGACTACCTGATTAAGGAATCACAATCTAATCTAAATAAGGAAATGAGGAAATATTCTAACACTCTCCCTTAAGCTGGTGCGAAGATATCTCGCATGCCCAGTTTGCCTAGAATGTCTTGAAATGGTTTACTCCCAACTCCCTTAGTGAGCATGTTTGCAAGTTGTTCGCCTGACTTCACAAAAGGAGTACATATCATGCCGCTAGTAAGTTTTTCTGGATGAAGTGGTGATCAATCTCAACATGCTTTGTCCTATCATGTTGAACAGGATTGTGAGCTATGTTGATGGCAACCTTATTATGACAATATAGCCGCATAGAGTTTGTCTAGCCTATCCCCAGATCACTCAACAACAGTCTAATCTACAAGAGTTCACACACACCTTGAGCTATAGCTTTAAACTCAGCTTTTGCACTTGATCTAGCCATCATATTTTGTTTCTTACTCCTCCAAGTAACAAGATTGCTGTCCACAGAGGTACAATATCCTGATGTAGATCTTCTATCAGTTATTGACCCTGCCCAATCAGCATCTATATAGGCTTCCACACTGAGGGGATCATGTTTGGAAAAGTAGAGTCCCTTTTCAGGAGAAGATTTCAAGTACCTTAGATTTCTCATAACAACCGTGAATTTGATGAGGAGTATGCATAAACTGGCTAACTATACTGACAGTAATTGCAATATCAAGACGAGTGAAATAAGTAAATGACTTTACCCACTAGTCGTTGATAACCCCCCCCTATCAACAGCTGCTCCTCCTTCATCATCACGAAGTTTCTGATTAGGTTCTAGTGGGGTATCACAGGCCTTACATCCAAGCATCCTTGTTTCTTTCAAAAGGTCATGAACATATTTTCTTTGTGAGATGAAAATCCCATCCTTGGAACAAACAACTTGGATTCCTATAAAATATTTCAAGTTCCCCAAGTCTTTGATTTCAAACTCACTAGCTAAATATTTCTTCAACAGGGCTATTTTCTCACTATCATCGCCTGTAAGCACTATGTTATCCACATGAACAATGAGAGTTGTAGTCTTACCATGTGAGAAATGTTTCACAAACAAAGTGTGATCTGTCTGACTCTGTTTGAAATCATATTTAAGTATAGCCTGAGTGAATCTCTCAAACCAAGTCCTTAAACACTGTTTGAGACCATATAATGACTTCCGAAACCTACATACTTTACCCTCTATCTGATAATCCTTAAAACCAGAAGGAATGTCATATATACCTCTTCTTCTAGATCACCATGTAAGAAAGCATTTTTCACATCAAATTGATAAAGTGACCAATCTAAATTAGTTGCTAGAGAGAAGTATTCTGACTGAATTCATTTTAGCCACTGGAGCAAAAGTCTCCTGATAATCTACTCCATAAGTCTGAGTGAAGCCTTTTGCCACAAGTCGAACTTTATAACGCTCAATGGAACCATCTGCTTTGTGCTTCACAATACACACCCATTTGCATCCCACCAGTTATTTGCCCTTAAGTAACTCAGTTAATTCCCAACTGCCGTTCTTACGAAGTGCTTTCATTTCCTCAATCATGGCAAGTTTCCACTTAAAGATAGCGAGAGCATTCTGAAAATGGTTAGGAATACTAGTAGAGGAAATGTTTGACACAAAGGTTCTATAAGAGGAAGGTAAATGAGAGTAGGACACATAGGATGTTGAGTAAAAAATCTCACACCCTTTCTCTTGGCAATAGGAATATCAAGATCAGTAGTGTTAGGAATAGCAATATTAGTAAACTCAAGAGAAACAAGAGGTTCAAAGTTACTTGACTCTTACCAGGAGCAGGAAATGGTAGTGGGTGAGCAGAAGTGGTCTCTTGTATTCAAGTAACTTTTTGTCTGTCTTTGTCCCTAACATAAACTTGCCCTTTCCTGTCTTTGGTTGCATTGGATTCTATAGTCCTAGTAATAGGTGGTTCAAGAACAATTGGTTCCACCATAGGAGCAATAGGGACAACAGGAATCTCTTCACACCAAGGCTCCCCTTGAAGGAATGACTGTGACACTAGAGAAGACAAGAAGTAAGACTGACTTAGAAAATATGAAGAAGAAGAACTCCGAAAATATGAGGAAGAAGGAATATATTTCTGTTATATTCAAAACTTCTTATCTTACAAGACCAAATGACACTCCTTATATAGGAGATATTACAAACATCATCATAACCCATTATATGCCACTTACATATTATATATTACCACAATCTACCACTATCATATTATATACATGCCACTATCTACCACCAACACCACTATCATATTCTATACATGCCACTATCTACCACCAACACCACTATCATATTATATGCATGAACACAATTTCCAGCAGACTGGGACTCAAAGAAGGTGACATCCATGGACACAAACCATTTACGAGAAGGAAGGTGATAACACTTATACCCTTTTTGAGTAGACGAATATCTGAGGAAAACACACTTGAGAGAGCAAGGGTCCAACTTACTATGAGTAGGAGAATGATTGTGAACAAAATAGACAGTCAAATATTTTAGGGAGAATGGAAAACAATGGCTCGGAACCGAGAAGGACTCGAAGTGGAGCTTGTTTTTGCAAAACCTGGGTAAGAAGACGATTAATGAGAAAGGCTGCGGTGAGAACGGCCTCGCCTCAGTAGGACCGAGGACACTCATAGAAAAATACATGCAGCGAGCTATATTAAGAAGATGACGATTCTTGCGTTCTGCAACCCCATTTTGTTGAGGGGTATTGGTGCAAGATGTCTGATATATAATACCATGAGTGAAAAAATAGCTCCCAAATCGATGTATTCACCCTATTATTAGAACACAAGATTTTGACAATTGCCCCAAACTAAGTACAAATCATTTTATGAAAATTTTGAAATGCAGAAAACGTCACTTTTTTCTTTCATGAGATACACCCAAGTAGTATAAGAAAAATCATCAATAAAGGTAAACAAATCATCTATGGCCTTTGAAGACATAACACGAGATGGACCACACATATCAGAATTTATTAAAGAAAAATGAGCTTTACTTTTATTAAGACTTAGAGCAAAAGAAGTTTGGTGTTGTTTGCCAAGTTGACAAGACTCACAAAGAAACTTAGACA